GTATATGTATACACTGATGTAACAATCTATCTGACGTCGTACCTCAGGTGCTTTGCCACCAGACTCCTCGATGAACTTCTTAACAACAGATAAGAAATCTGAGTACTCTTCGTTCTGATATTTCTTCTCGAAAGCAACCTTGCCAGGTGCAGATGCACCTCGCGCGACTGACTCCAGTTCACCTGATGTGTCTAGTTCAATGAGCTTAAGACGGGTGTTGGTGCCACCACAATCTCCTACTAATAGTCCCACAGACATTTTTATGTTGTTTGTTGTTGATGTACGGGTATTAGATACACGCTGTTGTTTGTTGTTGATGTACGGGTATTAGATACACGCTGTTGTTTGCGTGCCGCTCGTATATATGAATTTGAACTGAGGGAGCTGACAAGCGTGTGCGGTGTGTTATCGTAGTAGACATAGATATTCCATACCGCCATAGAGGGTAGAAATGTTCTAATTATTTCTCGTCTCTTAAACGATGTCGCATTTCAGATATCGTGTGAAGATTCAGGTGCTTTTACGACGCTTTATTTATTTACTACGAAATTTGTGTTCTCGACACATTAGGAGTATCCAAATTACCACAATAACCTTTTAAGGATATTACTAATACTTCCTCTCCGGTTTTATGGATCGAAAGATAAACGAGCGATCGAGTGTAATAATTATTTCATTCATTCCATATTACTATATTTTGAAAGGAGTGCTCAAGAACACTGGAGATCGGAAAACGTGTACAATATACAATGTATTTTAAAAATACACTGTACAGTACTTGTATTATATAAATACATATTTCCACGTTAAAAGAGAGATCATGGCCGAAGGCGCAGGCCGTAGCTTGTGTAAAAGCGTATATTTACATATCTATTAAATGTACCGAGCTCCCAGTTATATTACACAATCTTGGGATAGGTTTGATAATGATTGTGTGCACGCTGGTAGGCAATAACACGGGAACCGTTGACAGTCTAAGGGGAGATGTATACTGTAGCAGCTGGGCCTGCTAAGTATAGAGCAGATACGATTCTAAATCTACAGAAATGAAGCTCTTAAGACGCCGTATAGAAAGAACACTTTGTGAGACTACTATATAGATACAAAGTGAATGTTACTGGCCACAATAGCTAAATTAGAATGTTCTGCATAGTCACATTCTATATACGACTGTCGCTTTAGATTATTATAGATCACAGTGAAGGCTGTGTAGGAGTGGAAGAGAGTCGCGAACTAAATAGGACCGCACACCAGTATCATCCATACCACTTCTTCAGTCAGGGGGATGCCAGACACCAACACATTACGAAATCTCATCTGCGTCTCCAAATTATATAAAAATAACTGGCCCACTTGTAGACAGCAAGCTATGTTTATTTTAATACTTTTATCACATGTACCGGACTTCCTGTGATTTTGAACGCCTACAGTGGTGTCATATTTAACTTGCCAGCGGAAGTACTCATGCATCCGTATCTCATCATATGAAGTAAATATCATGGTCAGACTTAGTTTGTATTATACTGGGACAGGTCCAACGATTGCAAACGTAACGTGCAGTATAAGGTTCCCCAGCACCTGCTCAGTTATCACATCCCGTTGTCATATGTAAGTCGCTTGGGCAGCGAAATGAACTTTGCGTCGTTCATGAAGCACTTCAGTCCCGAAATGAAGCATCAACTGTAAAAGCAACCCCTTCGGGGTGAGTATCGCAGATTCAGAGGTTTTCCGTGTGTCCAAGTATGATTTCAACATAATGACTTCACAATTGACGATACCCACGACCATCTTGCGCCTCCCGAAATAGCACAAAGGCAAGCATAGCCGTTATGCCAATGTTACCGGTGAATAACACAATCACCAACCAGGGATAGATTAAAATTCCAGCGTCTCTCGCTCTTGGTAGTATCAGATACCAGCTCACACAAAATCCAACGACCAGGTCGATGCATATCTGACTACCCCAGTAATTTAAGGTATGATTGTACCACACTGGTGCGAGACCTTCATTGACTATAGTTATAATTGAGAAGGAGAGAAACCCTGAGGAAAAGATTGCAGGGACTATATACGCCTTGCTTCCTGTCATAAAACTACCTGAAAATGTGGAGGTAACTAGGAAGACCGCTCCGCACGCCAGAGCGCAAGCAGCATATATTTCTGGCAATGTAATAGTCATAATTTAAAAGGTATTATTTATGTAGTTTACAAGCAGCAAAGTAGTTAGTTTATTATGGTTTCTTCAGTTGTGACGCTTGCACTCGCGATTATGTCTGATTTTCTCTAATCACATTTAGAAAACGGTAATATTATTTATTTATATACACATAATTACATTTCAATTTTCAGATGGCGAGTTACTTTCTGCCTACATATACCCGAGGCTCGGAAACTTTATATAAAAAAGCACTGCAAATGACTGCAACAGTGCAAAGTAAATACATATTTAAGAAAAAAATTACAATTTCAAAATTCAAATGTCAAATGTGAAATATCAAATATTGAAATATGTTAGTGACAGTCTGACTGTTACTCTGGCAGGCTGACAGTCATTGAAGACTGCACTGTGCCGGTGTGCCCCAGCCCTCCACTCCCCAGGCCCAGGGCCCCCCTTGTCCCCAGTACTCCCTACACACGCAATAAACGTTTGACGTAAACGTGATAAAATCACAGTCGGACAGTCCGACACTCGCAGTCGCATTTATATTTATTTTTAGTTGCTACTTTTAAAAGACAAAATAGCAACTAATAAATATGTAGGATACAAATGCATAAATATTAATAAAGAGAAATATTTAGAGAGTTATTTAGAGAGTATTTACATAAATAGAGAGTTTTAAAGATACTGTGTATTTTTTATTTTTATTTATCAATAACTACATCGTCGAGACGTCGACTCGTCGTATTTATTATTTTATAAAAAATCGTAAATAATTAAAAATATGTACTGCTCACAGTAAACTAGCCTAACCTAAAACCGTTTCCCGTTAAAACCTTTATTCCATATGTGGTCCTTTGTATGATCATAGGTGCAACGTTCGGGTCTAAACATTTAGGTGTGTTCCATTTTTACTATACCTTTCGAACCAGTCCTATAAAAAACTTAGGTAGGCGCTTTTAATAACATCATAACCGTTATAACGTTTTAAAATTGAATAAATATGTGTTTACGTTCAACTTCTATTCCGTATCCCCATAACGTTATAAGTACTACTGTACACATATAAAATAGCCTATTTTTAGTATTTTAGCCTTTTAGGACAATATTGGTATTTTACAAAATTAGACTAATTTTTTTACTGCATACGATTGTACTGTAATATAATTTGACATATTTTTTAGTTCGATGATATGTGTATTTTATGTTACATTAACATCACACTGTTCTGGTGTTCTTCAATCGACAATCTTCAATCCATCTTCATTGATTCAGTATATACTCCATTACTCCTGTGCTCTGCAGATATAGCACTGTCATTGATTGGTGGAGATCTTGCTTGTTTGTACCAATTAATGGTCCTGATCAGTGATTCCACATAAATTGAAGATACCGATAATACGGTATACACTAAACACCGGTCTTCAGTGTTATTCAGCGATCAGTCGATCAATATTGATTTTTATCCTGATGACTTGAATCTTGATCCCAGATCTAAAACTGAAGCGGCTGCTTAGCAGCTTATTGTACGATTTCTTTGTATACTAAATACTTTTTAGTAGTGGTTGGTTGGCTTAAGTTGCCTTATAATCGAGCGCACTATGTAGTGTGAAAGATAAATACATTAACTCATTAAGGGGAGTGGGGTGTCTGAGAGATTACTGTTTTAAATTGCCACAAATGCCTCGAAATAAATTGCTTGAAG